CGCTTATGGGGCTAATTCTTAGTTTGCAGTGCTGTCAACCCATATGGGCAACTGGTTATGTCCCAGCTCCTGCACTTCAGACTCGGCTCCCTGCCCCTGGTCTGGGGAAGCAGTGGAGGATGGCCTCAAGCCTTGGGAGCCTGCGTCCATGTGGGAGACCTGGAAGCAGCTCCTGGGTTCAGATCAATTCAGCTCTGGCTGTTGCAGCTACCTAGGGAATGAAACAGTGATGGAAGATCTTTCTCTCTCCTTTCTCTGTAAATCTTCCTCTGAAATAAAAATAAATAAATCGTAAAAAAAAAAAAAAGTAGAAATTTTAGGCTAACAAGTTTCATAAAATACAGTATGAATTAGACATTTTCAACATTCACAACTCCACTTCCTTTTTGGTACTATGTAATAAAAGAGCCAGCTAATCCCCATCTCAGAACTCTGTAAAGATAAACTTTAGGAGTTAAGTACTTTGATGACCTGCTTGACCCATGTTATCCCATATTATATGGAAATCAAAAGGTTCTATTAAAGGATTGGAAGAATGTTAACTAGAGAATTTGAAAATGATCTTCAAAATGTTGCTTTTCAATGTTGTTTTGAAAAATTATGTATTCAGTTTTATTTCAAGGGCAGAGAGACAGATCTTCCATCTGCCAGTTCAGTCCACAAAAATGTTTGTGACAGTTGGCGCTGGCCAGCCAGGCTGCCGTCAGGAGGCAGTAGATGGTAGGGGAGTCAACCACATGAGCCATCACCCGCTCCATCCCAGAGTGCACATCTGCAGGACGCTGGAGCCGGAAGTCACGCCAAGTCTGGAATTCAGGCACTCTGATACAGTATGCAAACATCCCAAGCGGTGTCTTGATCGCTGTGCTAAAGGCCCACCCTTCTTCCCAGTTTTTGGGAACAGATCCTTAAACTATTTCCAGGCCTCAAAGCAACAATGTACCTTTGTTGCTTTTAATATTACTATTTGTTTTGGAGATCCCTCCAACTGAACTGCTCATCTCAGAACCCTAACCATGAAGAGACTATGTCAGCCAGTGTATTTTGAAGAGATTTCATCATGCTTGGAGTGACGAGATTGGCAGCAATTCAGAACTGTTGAACTATCAAAACGGCTTGAGCAGGACCCTCGGAGCATGCCCCACATTGGGAACTCTGGGATGGGTGGGAGGCTGGTTGGGGCTTCTCCCTTTGTTTCTCTCCTGACCTCAGATATAGAAAAAAAAATGATTTTATTGTGGAAACAATAGTCTTACCCTGCTTCCTGTAACCCTTGACCCTTTTTACCCTAATCAATTATGTAAGATTATCAAAATAATATTTGAAAAAATATTATTATTCAATCTACTGCTATCAGTTTTATCAGAAAAGCATAAACTGCTATTTAAAAGGATATTTGCTTGCTTTTGAAGTTCTTCAAAATACGGTACTACCTTGGCTGCCAAGATAAGACCTCCAGTACTTTATTTTTTTAAAAACATTAATTTATTTTTATTGGAAAGGCAGATATATAGAGAGGAAGATCTTCAGTCTGATGGTTCATTTCCCAAGTGGCCACAACGGTTGGAGCTGAGTTGACCTGAAGCCAAGAGTCCAGAGTGTCTTCCAGGTCTCCCAGGAGGGTGCAGGGTCCCAAGGTCTTGGTCCATCCTTAACTGCTTTCCCAGGCCACAAGCAGGGAGCTGAATGGGAAATGGGGCCTCCAGGACACAAACTGGCACCCATATGGGATCCCATCGTGTTCAAGACGAGGACTTCAGCTACTAGGCTATTGTGCTGGGCCCCCTCCAGAACTTTATTAACTGATTAATTACCCTAAGGAACAGCGTCAGAAAGCCAGGGATCACCCATCAGGCTTTAGCCTTACTCTATCATTTCTCCTGCTGCCAAGTTCATGCTCTGTACTTCCTCTGTCTTCAGTGATCTGAGAGGGCCCCACGTCAGCCAGGGGCCTTATAATCTGTTTCTCCTGGGAGTTATTCTATTTTAAAAGGAGTCTGAGAAAAGACAAAAGTTAATGAAACTGAATTAACGCAGACATAATCTTGGGCACTGCAGCAGCTAAATGGTGGATGTCTGATTAAGTGGAATAGCCAGGATTGGAACTGGAGCTCATAAGACTTTGCAGCTTAGTCAGCTGTGCCTTAATACTGGCCCCAAGAAAGGTAACTATTTACAGGAACATAGATAACCTGTAGCAATTCTCAAATCTGCTCCTACAAAGAATGACTGGAGCTAACTGCTGAAATGGAGATTCTGAGGCCGGTCACTGGCCCAGCGGTGAGGAAGCCACCTGGGGTGTTCCATGTCAGAGTTCCTGGTTTTGACTACTGACTCCACTTAGAACTCTGGCTTCCTGATAATGTGTTGCTTAGGAAGCAGCAGGTTGATGGTTCAAGTAGCTGGGCATCTGCCACCCCTGTGGGGGATTTGGGGTTTGTTCCGTTTCCTGGCTTTGGCCTGGTACAGTCCTGGCTGCTGTGGCTTTCTGGGCAATTAGCCAGCAACAGGAGATCTCTATCAGCCTTTCAGACAAAACAAGTAATAATAATACAAGTTTTTGAATGGAAATGCTGGACCCCAGGGGTAGGTTGGGAATAGGCATTTAAACAAGCTCCCAAGTAATTCTTTCTTTGGAAATTTTAAACTTTATTTTAAGGCAGAGGGAGCAAGAGTGAGAGAGGTGGTGTGTATACCCCACCTAGTGGTTTATTTGCTTCCTTCAGAAAAGCTAATACATTTAAAACAAAACAAAAATGAAGACCGCAGCTTCTCAGGTACAGAGGAAGTTTTATTTAGACACTTAAAAAAACCTATACCATTAGGATTCTTTCTAAAAACATTCTTTTACTTGCAAAGCTCAGTAGAAGACTGAAATGGGCAGTGAAGAACTTTGCAGTTCTGTACAGACCACGGTCACAGCTGAACAGTTTCTTAAGCTGTAAAAAAGAGACCTTTTCTAGAACAGTGAGAACTTTGTCCTGAAGACTTAAGTCTCTTGATGGCATCAAAAGCCAAGGAAAACAAATCAATATTCTGAAGCAGACTTTGTTGTGGATGTTACATGGGAGCTATTTCTACTCTTTCCTCTTATGTATAACTCAATAATTGATATTTTTTGTTATTACTATAAAAAAACTGTAAAGAGGAAGTGGTAAGAGCCCTTATGACTAATGTATAAACTCTCCCATGAGCCTGCATTTCAGAATAATACTATCTCCATGACACATGAAACAGAAAGTATCACAGTGTGTTTGGATCACATAGTTTATGTCAGAACTCAACGCACGCAGGAGCATGCAAGCTATAACACTGCACCTCTCAAGCTCGTTTCCACAAACATCATTCAGAGCATGATTAATGTAGATGTGCCGACCTGTCATTTAGCTGCTACACCCAAGCAAGTTAAAAACGACTTGGTTTTTTGTTTTTGCTTTTTTTTTTTTCCGAGCAGAGCTTATTCTGTTATGTATCATACAATGTAAAAATATAATTTATTTGTTGATGGTGGCATAGCCACCACCTAAAAACATCCCAAAATTGGTCTGGGATGACAATGTAGGGGGCTGGAGCTCTGAGGTGGGGCAGGAGAGAAATGAACAACAAATTTCCATTTTGGGCAAACAGCTACTTTGTTCTTTTATTGTCAAGCTTGTTGACAGTGGAATAGTGGCTCTGTGGGGCAAAAGACTTCTGTAAGAGGACTGATGCCTCGTTAAAAGTGCCCTCAGGCTGGCAGCAAGGGGCTCTGGCTTCAACTGCCAGAGGGGTGGGACCCTAGAAGTAACAGGCAGAGACAAGAGGCCTCACCCTTAAACGCCAGGGTGGTGGGCACTCAGGCCTAAGGAAAGAAGCCATGCACACACAACACAGAAATATCTGCCATCTACTTCAGACAAGAAAAATAAGGCAAAATGAAGTATCTAAAGATGATATTTTTACCTTAAAAATGATGAAATTTCACAAAAACATGTAGGAATTTACGTAAGTATAAAGTAGAAAATATTTTTGCTGAAGAGAAAGTAATATCCAAAATTAAGCGAACACACAAAAAAATTAAGTGAATGCAATGGATACTTATGCAAAATTTTGTGCTGAGATGTTACCAGCTAAAATGATATCTTTAATCAAAAGGCAGCTAGCTCTGTTTAATTCTGCTCAGAAAAGAAGCTTTTTTAATTTGCTTATGAGAAAAATTCATCTTGTTAGTAGCAATAGTTCATCTTAGGACACTGTTCACACTGGTAATAGGGGGAAATATAATTGTATTGCTATTTACCAAAGCAAATTTAAAGAGTTTACTCAGTTCTGGCAATCAGAATCTTTTCTTCAACTTCTTCTTCAAACTAAGAACTAGCAGAACAATCAAATGGCTTAATCTGCAAGAAAATGTGCCAGACAGAATTCATTTTCAGGTTTTATTTAACTCTTTACAAGTGTCTGTTTAAATATCTCAAGGGGCAGTGCTTAGCACATTACAAACTTAAGATACTCCCAGAAGGGTGTTCATGATACACATTTCCCATTTCTGTTTTTGTATTCATGGGGTAAGTCTTTCAAGAAAGGCTGCCCATGATTCACTCCAATAAATTAGCTACAAGCTATTGAATATATTGAATATATTGAACATTAGATCTTCCCAAAGCAAAGCTCCAAGATTCTGCGAGCTTTGGTTGAGATCATGCAGGCCACATCGCACAGATTTCATACTACAATACATACCAGAAATACTTAGGATTAATGTTGGAAAAGGCCCAGTGGGTTTCCCTTAGTACATGGAATAATTCAGTGATCCCACTGTCTCACTTAAACACAAACAAGCCGAAAAAAAAAAAAAGAAAAGAAAAGAAAAGAAAAACCACCAGACAACAAATAAAAATGCCCTGAGTGCCAAAGAATTAAACTAGTAACAAAGCAGAAAAAAGACCATTCATTCTATTTCTAGGTCAGTGCATACTCATGGGAAAGACCAGCCAATGCTAACTGTATGGGTTTACTGCTGCCAGGACGGGACACCCGTAACTCCAGGGCAGGCTAGATTCCGCAGGGAGGCCTGATGCAATGGCTGATGCTGACCAGCTCTTGTCAGACACCAGAAACTCAGGAAGGGACTCTTGAACTCTTACAAAGTGAAGCCTATCCTTCCTCAGACACCAATAGCACACAAAACATTCCACCCTACAGAAGAAACACCGGCATTATGTTTTCACCTTAAAGGACTCACAGAACAAGGTAAAGCTGGATTTTTTTTTAAAAAATTAATCTATAATCTTAAAAAGCCCAAAACAAAGGAATTAAGGTGGACAGACTGACAAAACAGATTTCTTCAACTTTTCTTCATTGCACAGGGAAATCCCCCTGAGGTGAGAATAAGAAAATTCAGTAAGTTGGAAGACACGTCTGACTTTAACCATGCTGTCCGCTAAAAGTCACATCTGAATGCTGACATAAGCTTCACACAATTAAAATCACAAAGGTTTTAAGAAGCAAGCTCAGCTCTTGCTCCTTCCTCAACATCAGCAGCCCTGGGCAGAGTGGGCTATGCTGTCTTAAAGGTTTCGAACATTAACTTATGGAAGGCCTTTCAAAGCAATGAACATTTTCTAACTGTGATCCTGTTTAACATAAAAACTACCCAGGAAAACTCCCTTTTTCCTTCTTTACTAAAACATGGACGTTTACTCAAGTTTCATGCTATGCTTTCCTTTGCTGAACTTTTTATTTTGAAAGCATTTTTGACAGCAATACTCTATTAGCTTATTAGAAGGACATGCCCATTTTCCAGTAAACCACATTGTTTCTAATCCATCAAGGCTGACCTTCAAAAATCAGTTCACTTATTAAAAATGGAGATTTGCAATCTACTTTATTTTAGATTATAGACCAGAATTATAGGCCAGAATTATAGACACTAGAGTACTTAGAAAGTTCAAATGGGTCACTATGAAAATACAGTTCACTGAAATGTACTTACTTATAAAAACATACTGCCTTTGCCATGTGAAAATCTGCTGTTTAGTTCTCTAGATTTCTTTATTAGGGCTTTTTTCTGGGCTTCATCAAACCGATTAACCTTGAGATCCTTATCACGGTCAAATGGTGTTCTCTCTTGGGACCTGTTTTTATCTTCAGCAGCCTTATTCTTTAATTTTTTATGATGAATGTCCATAAGAGATTCTGATCTTTTTGATTCCTAGATAGAGCAGAAGAGCAAAAATGAGAACCATGGCTTATACAGACTAACAACACAATCATGAGACAATCACCAGTAGCCAAAATGTAAGAGGGTTATTTACAAAGCCAGCAGCTTTCCCCAAATCTAAGACAGCCTCTGTGAAGTGAATCTGTATCAGAGGCAAATTGAAATCACTAGACTATCATAAATTTATGATGGTAAAAGAAAGGAACTTCAATATCGATTGTTTCAGGTGGACTACTGTCGGTCTGGTTCCATACAGCTTGTATATTGTGATGTACAAGATCATTTTGGTACTGAGTTATTTAAAAATTACAAAAACACCTTGAAGTAACCAATTCATTGAAAATCCTAAACTGAAAGTCAATTCTCGTAGCGAGGAATCTGCTAAATGATCAAGTTGCTGATTTGCCACATTTTCCCATGGACAGCAGGCGCCTCAGTGACTGCGCCAGCTTTTCCTGCCTTCCCAGGAATATGGCCGGAAGCTGTATCAGAATCGCAGCAGCACCTGATTTCAACCTGGCACTCTAACACAGGATACTGACATCCTTAAGTAGCAGCTTGACTTGCTGTGCCACATTGCTGGTCCCTGCCATGTTTACTTATAATTTCTTATACTTGTAAACTAGACTGAGGGATTAGGGGACGTGGAGAGGAAGAGGAGTAGAGGAAGAGAGAGTGAGAAAAACAGATCTTCCCCCTGCTGTTTTACCCCGCAGGTGGCTGCAACAGCTGGAGCTAGGCCAGACCCAAACCAGGAACTAGGAATTATTTTATTTTTAAAGAGATGGGCTCCTAACAGTTCTTCAAAACACATGTTCTTTAGTTGATTGCTTTTTATTTTCTTTTCATGGTAGTATGCTAAGACAGTGTTGAATTTATTAAAAGCTGACAATTTGCCAAAGACTGAACTGTTCATAAATTTAGAGTGAACCATATTTTTAAATCTTTTCATATTTAAATCTTTTCATCAAGTATTCCAAATCTATTTGTAATTTAAAAACTTACGAGCTGAGGATCTATCTCTATGAGTTATTATGGCTCTTATTTTTGATCAAATGCTACCTATATTTAGTAACTGGATTTCTGATATCTGGCTTAAGTAAAATACATGCCTGAAATACTACACGAGATGCACAGAAGGGTATTATATAAATAAACAACAAAGCTGAATATTTTTCAGGTCTGATATATACAAAATACCTGGGGTAGAAAGGCAGATATATGAAAGAAAGAAAAACAAGAAACAGAAAAAAAAATGATTACTCAAACTGTAGAAAAAATACACAGTAGTTACATCTATAAAGTTTTGATTTTATTTCTTTACTCACATTGTATGAGGACACCTGCTCAGCCAATCTCTTATCCCTTCCTGACAACTCAGGTTCTTCATCGTCCTTCTTGCTGAATGACTTCCTTGCTTCCTGTGTCTCCTGAAGAGTAATTACAGGTAACAAATTAATGGACCACATAAATAAGATAAAAAAGAAATGCTGCCATTTTTACTTAAGTGAAGTCATGAAAAAATACATGAAGCCAGCGTTGTTGAATTCCTTCTGGTTAGAAATGCTAACATTCTCGATAAGGGATCAGTTAACACTGAAGTCAAGGAGTTTCCTAAACATAAGAAAACAAAGGGCGCCCTCTGTGTCACGGTGGTTTCAGCTGCTGCTTGCCTGCTTTCCCATCACAGCGCAGGTTCAAGCCCCAGTTCTGCTTCTGACCCAGTTGCCTGCCAGCGTGTTCTGGGAAGCACTGGATGATGGCCCGAGCACCCACCACCCGTATGTGAGGCCCAGGTGGATTTCCTTTAGCCATTTTGGGAGTAAACCAGTAGATGGAATAACTCTTGTCTCTATAACTCTCTCTCTTACTCTGCTGCTCAATCTACCTTCCAAATGAATAAATAAATACATCTAAAAAAAGGTGAGGGGGTGACACCTGACCTTATCAACTAACCAGAAGAAATCATTTATTTAATGGAGAATGAGTTCCAACAGTGTATGTAAATGTAGTAATGAAATATTTTTCAAAGATGCATTTATTTATTTGAAAGACAGAAGTGCTACCCATGTAAGGAGACTTGGATAAAGCTCCCGGTTCCTGGCTTTGACCTGTTTCAGCTCTAGCTAGTGTGGCCATTTGGGGAGTCAACCGGTGGATGGACACTCTCTTTCTGCCTTTCTTTCTAACAATGCTTTTCAAATAAAAATAAATAAATCTTAAAACAAAACAGAACAACAAAAAACATAAACCTTCTCCAAAAGTTTATAGTTAATGCATCCAGGAAGCAGCAGACGATGGCTCAAGTCAAGGTGCATTAGCAGGGATGCTGGTACAGGAAGTGGCACCTTACCCCGCAGAGTCACAACATGGAACTCACTTTAAGCCTATCCTGACAGGAACATGCAACTGAGACACGGTTATTTTAAGAAACAGTCTCCACATATCATTTCATTTGTTAGGTTGTCCAGAGGCTTCCCTCCCCACCAAGATATTTTTAAAAGATAAACTCTTACGAATACAGTGATGTTGTATGGAGTTTATAGAATTTGTTTTAGAAAGGTCTAGCATGGGATTCTTGTTGACTACTTACCAGTACTGTCACCTTAGTGAGAAATTAACTTCCTCCACTCAAGAACAGGGTCAATAAACCTAAGTTTACTTCATGTGTCAGAATTTTCTGAGGTTAAATGTAGCAATTCACTGGGAAACAGCAGGCAAGCAGTGCCACCTGCCTTCTCTATACCTTCCTTCAGGAGAAAATCTATTCATTTTTCCCTTCAGAATTATCATTTCAAAAAGTAGCACATCCTTTAAATAGCTCTTTTTTTTTTCTTTTCTGGTTATTTTTCAAAAAACTTGAGCCAACCAACCAACCAACCAACCAAATAGCCAATGTAACATCTCACCCTTGCTTTCCTTTCTCGATCAGCTGGAGTGTCCGTCCACACTGATCGGTCCCCTGATTTGTCCTCAGCTCTCCTCTTGAAAGTCCGAGGCCCAAGGCCAAAGTCTTTCATTTCTGCAGGAAGCTCAGTCATCCACGACTCTCTCGTAATTGGTTTAGATGAATCCTTTAGGAGAAATGAAAGGGGGGGGAAAGGTAGCATGAAAACATTATATACACAGAAACATGTGTATATTATACTTTGTATGTATATAGAAAACATGTGAATTATATACTATGTACATATATAAAATATTATGTAAATGCTGTCTTTATCAATTGAGGTTTTAGTTGCTTAACAGGGGCCAGTGAGGCTTAGCAAGGTAATCGTCCCATTGCATGCCAGCATTCTGCAAAGGTGATAGCTTTGGTCCTGGCTACTTCTCTTCTCCAGCTCCCTGCTAGCGGACCAACAAAGCAGCAAGCGATGACCTTTTAATGGTTTAATAAAAATAAAATAAATCTTAAAAAAAAAAAAAACCTTACATCATCGGCACAGCCCAGTAGCCTAGCATCTAGCCCAGCCTTGCACGTGCCGGGATCTCGTATGGATATCAGTTCTAATCCCGGCCACCCCACTTTCCATCCAGCTCCCTGCCTGTGGCCTAGGAAGGCAGTTGAGGAGACATAAGGCCTTCAGACCCTGCACCATGTGGGAAACCCAAAGGAAGCTCTGGGTTACTGGCTTCAGACTGGTGCAGCTCCAGCTGTTGCGGCCACTTGGCGAGTGAATCAGCGGAAGGAAGACCTTCCTCTCTGTACAGCTGAATTTGCAATAAAATAAAATAAATCTGAAAAAAAGAAAAAAAAAGACTTACATCATCTCCTCTGGTCAGTTTTTCTTTCATTCTCTGGGCTCTTTTTTCAAACTCTGTTGATACATTGTAGTTAACTGGTCCTTTTGCAGGCATTGGTCCAATAATGTCCTCATTGTCACTGCTATCTGTTTCCTTTTAAAATAATAAGACATTTTGTTAAACCAAGAGTAATGGTATAGGTGATAGAAAACAACTGTAAATTCCTTATATTTAACTGCAATTGTTTACCCATGGACAACAAAAAGAAATCAAAACCAACACAGCCCATCACTGAAAAAACTCGGACCCTGTCTTTGCCTTCCTCAAGTGCACAGTACACAAATCCCAGCTGCACAGCAAGTGGACTCTGCCAGGTACCCTTTTAGGTCCATCACAGATTTCACCAAATCAGTTCCCTTCCTGATGGACATAGATGTGGCTCCAGAGTTCTTATCAGCATAGAACTGCAGGGCTTCAGTATCAGTCAGTGACCATACAGTGCAAATCATTTTCATTCCTAAGACACATTAAGCCCTTTAGAATATAGACGTGTTATATACATTCTTGGAAGCTCTACTGGCTTTCAGGATTCAGTTGAGGCCACTGGAACAAAAATGCTGTATAAAAATGATAAAACAAACAAACAAAACCAAAATACTGGCCTGAAAGTAAGTTCCACAGCTTGCCTGAGGTTCTAAAATCAGTATCTAAGAATCAATTGTTCTAAGGTCAAGACCAGTAATTTTTCTACTTACCTGATAGAAGTCCTCTCTGTTTTTAATTTTCGCCTGTTAGTGATTTAAGTGTTTAGAACTTATTTCTATATTAATAAGCTCTTTGAATCTGTAATTCCCAACACAAACATCTGCTGACATAAAGTAACAGATACAGAAGACATACTGAACCTTTTTACTTTCATCTAATAAGAAAAAGTTTTATGAAAGATAGAATTTCAGTCTTGATAGGATGATATCTGAAACTTCAAAATCAAGATCACTCAAGATGTCAGGACACAAACTAAATGGGACAATGGAAAGGCATACTAACTCAAAACTAGAAAGAAATCAAAATCCTATGCCAAAATTCATTCATAATATTAAACAACGATGGTGTTCTAAGTGAGTTCTTCTTTCCTAATAAGCCTCCTCTTGTCTTTGGAATGGCGAATACGACTCCTGCCAATTGCTACTCTCATGCCATGAGATCCCTGCATTTTGTTCATCTTGGAGTCACTTCCTTTTTAGGAAACTGGAAGCTTCTCTGATTCCTGGGGAAAGTGTTGACAATGTTAAGCCCACACTGGTTTCATTCTTCTTGCTCAACCAGCTGCTTACGTATGAGCCTGGTTTTTGGTCAAGCAAACACGAAGGGAAGTCTACAGGAAACCTTCTGGGAAGATTCCCCTTGTTGTGGGGTGCGAGCGAGATCACACCAGACATGTCTAAGGTTTATTAAGGAGTCTTTATTAACCAAGCCTGGTGGTAATAGAGCACAATAGCAAATCACAAGTCCATATGGCAATCCAACCAATTATAATCCAACCAAACATAATCTCCAAAGGAACAAGTGGTCATTATCCGTAAGTCCACCCATCAAGCTGAAGACCTATGTCCCAGCTTCCCCAACAATGTAAGTTATTCTAAGAGACATGCAACAAATAACATGGACACACTTACAAAGTTGCAGGCATTCATCTTTCCCTGGCTTCTCTGCCCACATTACACCACTGCTAGGCCTCACCTCTCCTGGAACTCCTGACAGCACACAAACCAGAAACATTATTATATCCATTGCCCCATCTAAGCAGTACACAGGGACCATGCTCAGGGGATTACCTGTCCTGGGTCAGCCAAAAGTGGAGTTGTCAGAGTAATGGAAGTACCTGGCCAGAAAGAGAGCGAGAGTCCCTGCTTCTTGGGCCTTTTAAAGGGGCTTGTGAGGGGTATGGTTATACAACAATGCAATACCGTCCCCTCTCAGTTGATCGGTGAGTCACAGGTGGGCAGGAGCAAATACCTAAGTGTTGTGGGCTAAGGAGTTAATTAGTTCTTATTGGGATCTGCAGGAACAGGAACTGGGTTTGTAGCTAAGAACACCTAAACTAATTGCATCCAATATCCTGGCTAAATTAGGACGTGGGAGGCGTGGTTGAGGATGGAATTATATAGAGAGTAGGGGACACAGCCAAATTTCATTTGCCCACTGTCTATCACTGGCTGCACCCCATAACAGCCTCTTGCCCCTGCCTTTTTTTTCCCCAAGAATTACTTTTTAAAAGATTTATTTTATTTTTATTTAAAAGACATGTTTACAGAGAAGAGGCAGACAGAGACAGAGACAGAGAGAGAGAGAGACCTTCCATCTGCTGATTCATTCCCCACATTGCCTTAATAGCTGGAAATGAGCCAATCTGAAGCCAGGAGCCGGAGTCTCCTCTGGGTCTCCCATATGGGTACAGGGACCCATGGATTTGGGCCAGTCTCTGTTGCTTTCCCAGGTCCTAAGCATGGATCTGAAGTGGAGCAGCTGGGGCACGAACTGGTGCCCATAGGGATGCTTAGCACCACAGGTGGAGGCGTAGCCCATGATGCCAGCCCCAGCCCTTCCTCTTTCTAAAAGCGGGACCTGGAAAAGCAACATGGCTCTTTATGTGTCCGGACAATACCATCTGTTTGTGAATCTTAGATTTCTGGTATGCTTCTAGGTATGATGAAGGCAGTCAGTCTGAGTAATCCACATACCACAGAGAGTAGAGCAGAAAGATGAAAAAAGCTTAAGTCCTTGATGGTATCATTAGATTGTTGAATTAGCCAACTCCAGAATGACCTTACTTCCCAACAGGTGCAACACAGTTTCTGAGTGTGAGACTATAGGAGTTACACCACCAGGGAACTTACACCAACAACTCATGTATCCAGCTAAATAGATTAAGACAGAGTTTGCAGTTTCTGATATTTTTAGTTGAGAACATTACACCCGATCCACTACTTCTCAGGACTGCTGCTTGGATTTGTTTAAATTTATGTTGGTGCTACGCACTGCAGTGCCTGTCCTGTGGTGAACACTCAAGAGGTGTTAGTGGTCAGTAGAAGCGTGTATGTCTTAATTTGGAAGTAAGTGTTGTGAATAAGAGACTAATAGAAGCCCCTCTTTGAGAAACAGAATCTGAAAACCGAATGTCTTTAACACTGCGGTGCAATTCCTCTCCTACAGACACCTCATGCGTTAAGGGAAGCTGATGGGTACGTACACAGAATGTGTACCATCTAGGCGACCATATACACCACCCACTTGCTGAGCAGGTAGCTTAGGACAAAACTCCAAGCACGGAGAAAGCTGAATTACAGCAAATCTTAGAAAAAAAAAAAATTCTCCTAACCTTTTATTTTGAAAATTTTAAAATTCAGAACAGTGTCATATGCTGAACAGCCATCCAGCTACACATTTACCCTTTCGTTCTCTGTCGGCCCTACTCCCCCATGAGACAGTCAGACACACTTCTTTTTCCAAGCCTTTGAAGGCAGGTTACAGACAGCGTGACAAGGCCCTAGATGGAAGCAAGCCCTCCTCCCTGTTTCCTGGCAGTGGCTTACAGTTCTCCAGTAAGTCCTCTTTTTTTTCACAGATAGCAGGGCTTTGCGGCTGTGGCTTATGTAAAAGAGAGGCTCAATTTATTCTCTTTTGCCTGAGTGAGCCAGGAGCCAGGTGAAAAATCCCTTAGAGCTTATCACAGGTCCCCTACCGTGTAAGCTTGAGCTCTGGCTCTGAATTCTCTCAATGTTTCCTCCTTCGGGCTCGTTCTAACTATGGCCATTCTGCGGCCCTCCCCCGCTACTCCTGCTAGCAAGCTTATGCGTTTGTGACTGGAACAGCCTCACCTGATGATGTCAGCTCAGCCTGTGTTCTTGTATTTAACATCTTTGTTGGACTTCACCAGATTTTTTAACCCCTACCTTTCTTCCTCTCCATATTCTTTTACCTATAAACAGGCTACATACAACACACCCTCTGGAACAATCAGCCACTCCTTCTTCCTGAATTGTCTCCAACTCATCAATCATAGCTCAGAGGTTCTTTAAGAGAAAAAAAAATCTCTTCTCGTTTCTTCAGATTCGTTTTGGTTCTCCTGCCAGGTTTCTAGTCATACTTCTCATCCTTTGGAATGCTCATACTGTTGGATTTACTGCAGAGGTAAGGAACCTGCTGTCTGCCAAAGGTCATCTGGATAGTCACAGCATCATTCAAAACTACCCACTTAAAAATTAGCCTGCTAGGGGCTGGTGTGGCAGCCCGTGGCACCAGCATCCCATACAGGCACTAGTTTGTGTCCTGGCTGCTCCATTTTTGATCCAGTTTTCTGTTAATGGCCTGGGAACGCAGCAGAGACAGGCCAAGTCCTTAGGCCCCTGCACCCATGTGGGAGTCCCAGACCAGCTAGCTCTTAGTTCTTGACTTCAGGCCAGTCCAGGTCCAGCTGTTTGGGGAGTGAACCAGCAGATGGAAGGTCTGTCTCTTTGTTTCTGAAACTCTGACTTCCAAGTAAAAGTAAATAAATCTGTAAAAGATCAGCCTGCTTTCATATATTGAATTTCTAGGCCTACCTGTGATTGCCAGGGCTAGATACTCCCAGCCTGGCTGTATGGGCATCAGGCACTATTGGCAAAAGGCTGAGTTCCAGTGCCCCCTGCAGACACCAGATGGTGAGTGCTCAATTCCCTCAAACAAAATGGCCTGGGATTTGCATATCACTCAGGCACATCCTCCAGCCGTTTCACACCATCTCTAGATTACTTACTTATACTACTGGCTACAACATAAATTCTGTGTAAATAGTTACTGTATTGTTTAGGGGATAAAGCAGAATAAAAAGCTGAACAGGTTCAGTCCAGACACGATTTTGCTGTATTTTCAGTCTGTAATGGGTAGAATCCAAGGATGCAGAACCAGGGGACTGGAGGGTGAGCAATCTGTATTCCCTACTCTGCAGTAACTGCTGTAGCGACTATTTCTGAATATTTGCTATGTGTCAGGCACTGGGCTCTGGGACACATGTTCCAGTGGAAAGGGAACAATAGAATCAAGCAGTAGTAAAATTAATGTGTTCCTTGGTGGTGGTAAATATTATAGAAAAAGTAGAATTAAAGGAGAAAAAGAAGTAAGAGTAAAGGGAGGAGGATTTAGAAAAATGTAAACAAGGAGCCCAGAGATGACCTTAAGGGGAAGATGATATGTCAGCAAAAATTCTGAAGGTCTGGGTCTGGCGCAGTGGCCAAGCTGCTAAAGTCCTCGCCAAGCATGTGCCGGGATCCCATATGGTCACCGGTTCTAATCCTGGCAGCCCCACTTCCCATCCAGCTCCCTGCTTGTGGCCTGGGAAAGCAGTCAAGGACAGCCCAAAGCCTTGGGACTCTGAACCTGTGTGGAAGACCAGCAAGAAGTTCCTGGCTCTTGGCTTCAGGGTCAGCTCAGCTCCGGCCATTGCAGCCACTAGGGGAGTGAATCATCAGATAGAAGATCTTCCTGTCTGCCTCTCCTCTCTGTATATATGCCATTCCAATAAAAATAAATAAATATTAAAAATATTCTGAAGGTCTAAGAGATACTTAGACACATGGATACTGAGGGCAAGGCCATTTGGAATCGAACTGGGCGGCAGATAGAAACTTTCAAGGGGCAGGCCTCAGGGTCTGACTCCTCTGAGGAGGAACAGCAAAGAGTTCAGTGTGGTCGTGTCAGAGCAAAGCAGAAACTCGCGTGCCAAGGAGGTCAGATGGCAGTGACCTCCGTAAGGACCTCCGTAAGGATCCTAGGCAGGATCTTAAGGATCCTCCTAAGGTTTCTAGACAGACACAAGAGCGGCGATTTGGTGGTTCTGAAGGTTAGTAACAGGACTTCATGTCACTTAGACCACTGTAGCTGCTGTGCTAGGAGGAAGAACGGGGAAAGGACTGCCAGAAACAAGAAGAACCAATCAAAGAGGTGAAATACGGTTACTTGGGCCAAGTCTGAAGTTCGTGATCTTAACTACTGTATTGTACTTCCTTTCAGCAACTTCAATGTAAATGCTGAATTTGCAGTGGAGAGCAGCACTGGTCCCCTGATTTAGATGAATTCACATGCAGGAAGCCACTGAAGGATGAGCAGACAATTAGTTATAAAAACTGGGTCTCCACCAAGGCTTTGCTGAGTGAACATTACCCAGTCCTGGGTAAGTCACCTGACTTTGGTGTTTTGCATCTCTAAGATGCAGATAGCTTGTATTTTATGGGGCTGCAAAGAAGATAAAAATAGATGGGAAAATACGCGAAAAATGATAAAGTTTGGTACAAGTCTTAGCAGCAAAGGAGAAGAGCTTTCACACTTTATCCCCAAATCATTTCATCTTTTCACCAAGTCACTTATCCATCCAGTGCACTTGTTACAATGCAGGTACAGAGCTGGGTACCAGGGCAGAAACCACAGCCTTCTCTCTAGGCTGAAATCCTTAAGCTGTTCATCTTGTTTGGTTTTTCTGACACTTTAAGGCATCCCTTCAAAGATAAATGGCCTTTACAGGTAACACCTACTCAATCTTGTTATTTTTTCTAAAAGATTCCCAGGTGCTTGAACAACTTTTGATCTCATCTGCTTACGTCACCATGGCAAGTTAATCTGTCAAATGATCATCTTTACAAAGTTCTGAGCTTGTTATACTTGATTCTTTAAAACTTTCCAAACCTCAGAATCCAGATGTGACGATACTGGTTTTCTTGGACCATCTCTGCCTCTGTCGCTTTTCTGGGTAGATTTAATGAAGCCAGGTGGTAATGCAGGACCTATGATGGGCCTGAAAAGTAAAATGTATCTTTATCATTCACCCTAGCACAAAAAAGTCATCTCCAGAGTCAAAAAGTGCACGAGATTATAAAGTCAGAAAATAAGAAATGTTGAAAGTGGGAGCTTATTTTTGCTAGTATCACCTATTTTTTTTTTCATGTTAAAGTTGGATCTATTTATTTGAAAGGCAGAGTTACAAAGAGAGAGAGAGAGAAAGAGAGACAGAGATAGGTGCTTCCTCTGCTGGTTTCCTCTCCAGTGGCTCTAACAGCCAGGGCTGGGCCAGGCAGAAGTCAGCAGCCCAGAACCCCGTCTGGGTCTCCCACATAGCTGGAAGAGGCCCAAGTAGTTGGACCATCCTCTGCTGCCTTCCCAGGCACATTAGCAGGGAAGCTCAATATACTGAGCCACAACTCCGGTTCCTGCCTAGTATTTTTCAAAAAAGTCTAATTTTTACATTCTGTCTTTATACTTGTTAATTATTAGATAAGAAACTAAGAATTCTCAATCTATGTGACACGGATGCATGCCCACTTCCAAAAAAAAAAACAAAACTATTTGTATTAGTAAAAATAATCATTAAAGTCCCTATCACATACTAAAATCTGTGAAAGTCTTTTTTTTAATGTGTGCTTTGATGTTCCTTCAGCTTTATATTCACCACCCACTAACAAAACATCTCTTGAGGGTATTATAATTACAGTCACAACTACTAAAGAAGGAAATGAGCTCTTCTAAGGATATGCCTGTAGCATACACCTATAACGGATGCCAGCAATCTATTTACAGCATGGTGATACAAAACGCTGGTGTCTACACTCTAATCCAGCAATGCTGCAGACGTATGCAGGGAGTCACTGAGACCCACGGAAAGAGGAGAAGGTGCTGTGCTAAGCACATTTCTACCCACGTACCTTTCTGTTTCTTTAAAATCACCCCGTGTAACTCATCCCACTTTCAGGTTAGCAAAATAATGCCAAAGGTCAACACAAACAGAAAGTTCCTGAGCTAGAGTTTGAACCCAAGGCACCGATGTTCATGTGAGATGCTCTACTCTGCCACATCCTGAGGGAATTGACACCAGCGCAGAAGAGAGAATTTCCTGAATTCTGAGTCTTGAAAAGGAACAGCCTTACTTTATGTTGGGGTGAGGGGTAAGGAGTGAGGGGCAGGGGAAGCAGAGGAAGAAGAGAAAAGATGCTTTCTTGTCTCTCATTAAGTTTTTTACTTTTTTTTTTTTTTAAGATTTATCTATTTTTTTCATTGGAAAGTCAGATATACAGAGAAGAGGAAAGACAAAGGAAGATCTTCCATCCACTGATTCACGCTCCAAGTGGCTGCAATGATTGGAGCTGAGCCGATCCAAAGCTAGGAGCCAGGAGCCTCATCCAGGTCTCCCATGCGGGTGTAGGGTCCCAAGGCTTTGGGCCATCCTACACTGCTTTCCCACAAACAGGGAGCTAGAAGGCAAATAGAGCAGCCAAGATATGAACTGGCACCCATATGGGATCCCAGCATGTACAAGGCGAGGACTTTAGCCACTAAGCTACTGCGTGGGACCCCACCTTTGTTTTTGTAACAGTTTTTTCCTTGGCCGACACTGTGCCCATGCAGGTGGCACTGAAGTCCTGGGCTGACATTTCTAGGATGCACTGTTGGAGCACTCTATTAGAGCCTGAGAGGCAGCCTTCCTCACAGAGGAGAGGCAGAAGGCCCGGTTTCTTCTTGACTGTTGAATCATCTCATCTCAGCTTCTGAAACCTCGTTCAGCAGAACAATGTTGTTAATGAGAGATGGGGAAGTTTGGCATTGTTAGAAAGATTCAATTACCTATCATCTATGATTTCCAAGAGAGTACCACATTTTTTTTTTTTCTGAGTATAATTTTTAGCAGATCTACAAATGCTCAACTTTCTGGATTCCAGGGATTTCCAAAAATAAAACTACTGGATACTTGGAAACTTAAAACACAGCAAAGGAATACAACCATGGCATGCTGTGGTTGTAGAAAAGGTTTCTAGATCCAATATGCAGCATCAGCTATTTATTTTGTATATATTCATTTTTTTAACTGAAACACAATTCTCAAAAATTCTCAAAAAAAAAAATTTCAACATATCCCTGGGGGTAGTATTGTGGTACAGTGGGTTGAGCTGTTGGCTGCAAAGCCAGCATCCCAAATGGATACTGTTTCATGTCTCAGCTGCTCCACTTTTAATCCAGCGCCTTGCTAAAGTGCCCAGGAAGACAGTGGAAGATGGTTGAAGTACTTGTGTCTACACCCACATGCGAGACCCAAGTGAAGCTTCTGGCTTCAACCTGGCCCAGCCCTGGCTTTGTGGGCATGTGGGGAGTGAGCCAACAGATGGAAGATCATTTTTCTCTGTAACTCAGCCTTTCAAATTAATAAATACAGCTTTAAAAAATATGTTCCTATACATCTAAGCACAGGTACGTATACCTCATCCGGAATCTTTGGAACCATAAGTGCTTCAGATTTTGGGCTATCTGCACACACTATGAGATACTTTGGAGATGATACCAACTTCAAACATGGAATATACATACATATATATATATATTTTGTTGTTGTTTCACATGTATCTTATACACATAGCCTGAGGATCATTTCCTACAACACGTTTAAATAATTTGTGCAGGAAACAGTTTGTGTACATATGAACTGTCGGACGTGCTGCTCTCAAAGCTTCAGGGGGGCAGGTGTTCCGCCCAGCAGTGAAAATACCTGCATCTCCTACTGGAGTACCCATGTTCAACTCCTACCTCATTCCTAACTCCAGCTTCCTGTTAAAATAGACCCTGGATAGCAGCAGTAATTGTTCAAGTGGATGAATTCCTGCTAACTGTGTGGGGACTTGGACTGAGTTCTGCTACTGGGGGAGGCATATGAATCAGTGAGTTCTGTGTGTATATATCTCAAATAAAATGTTCAGTTTATCTATCTTTTTTTTAAAGATTTATTTTCACTGGAAAGTCAGATATACAGAGAGGAGGAGAGACAGAGAGGAAGATCCTCCATCCACTGGTTCACTCCCCAAGTGGCCGCAACAGCCGGAGCTGAACCCGTCTGAAGCCAGGAGCCAGGAGCTTCTTCTGGGTCTCCCATGCAGGTTCAGAATCCCAAGGCTTTGGGCTATCCTCTACTGCCTTCCCAGGGCACAAGCAGGGCACTCGATCAGAAGCGGGGTGGCTGGGACATGAACTGGCACACATATGGGATCCCAGTGCATGCAAGGTGAGAACTTAAGCAGCTAGGTTACTGAGCTGGGCCCGAGCTTATCTATCTTTATTATTTTTTAAAATTCTGGGGTATTTTGAATTTTGGATTAGAAAACTCAATACATAAAATATTTCTAAAAAATTTTTAGAATTCATTTTACTTATTTGAAACAAAGAGAGAGAAAAGGAAATATGTTCCCATCCACTGGTTTACTCCCCTAATGCCAGCGAAGAGCCTGGGCATAGGCCAAAACCAGGAGCTGAGCTAGGAGTGCACTGCGGGCCTTTCCCACAGATGGTGTGCTTGTGAGCCATGAAAAGTGTCATAAACATGAAAATAATTATTTGTATTATAGGGAATAAGTACTTTTCCCTATGAATGTCCCATTGCAGATAATTTAACAAACCAATTTCAGGGCCCGGTGTGGTAGCCTAGAGGCTAAAGTCCTTGCCTTGCATGCTCTGGGATCCCATACAGGTGCTGGTTCTAATCCTGGCAGCCCCGCTTCCCATCCAGCTCTCTGCTTGTGGCCTGGGAAAGCAGTGGAGGACGGCCCAAAGCCTTGGGACCCTGCACCTGTGTGAGAGACCTGGAAGAGGCTCCTGGTTCCTGGCTTCAGATCAGCTCAGTTCTGGTCATTGCGGCTGCTTGGGGAGAGGACAGAAGATCTTCCTCTCTGTCTCTCCTCTCTGTATATCTGACTTTCCAATAAAAATAAAATAAATCTTAAAAAAATTTTTCAGACAACTCTTCATGAAGGGAAAACATTGGAAATATATGAAAACAGCTGGCCTGGAATGTATGTTACCTTGGAGGAGAATCATCCTGCTTTTTAAATCCAGGAGGAAGGGCTGGTCCAAAAAATCCATCATCGTCATCATCATCATCTTCGTATCTCCCCTGTTTTCTAAAAAGATCATAGTACAAAGTTGATCAGTATAGATGCCGAATTATTTTTCCATTTTCTAAAAAGATTTTTTTATTTTTATTACAAACCAGATATACAGATAGAAGAGACAGAGAGGAAGATCTTCCATCCACTGATTCACTCCCCACGTGGCCCCAATGGCTGGAGCCGAGCCGGTCCGAAGTCAGGATCCAGGAGCTTCCTCCAGGTCTCCTGCATGGGTACAAGGTCCCAAGGCTTTGGGCCATCCTCAACTGGTTTCCCAGGCCACAAGCAGGGAGCTGGATGGGAAGTGGAGCTGCTGGGACACGAACTAGCACCCACAGGGGATCACGGAGCATGCATTGTGAAGACTTTAGATACTAGGCTACCGTGCTAGGCCCACCAAATTATTTTTTCATAAAGACAAAATTTAATTCTGAAAGCAGTAGTATTAGTTGTGGAAATCTGGAATTTTATTTTATCCCAAACTGTTAGAGGTTAGTTATTCTTTACAGTAGTAACGTTTTACTCTTCTCTGTCTTCTGCAGTATTAATGTTCAACTCACTGAAGTGCGCATTGTCTGTCAGATGCTTCTCAGGGGAAGTTCCTGACTTTGACTCATAGTCTCCTTTGAGGAAGGGCTTTAAGTTGCTATTTTTCTTAATCTATGAAATGTGTCAGAAAACCCTACCATCTAACTAAAATTCATTTGCCTATTTACATGGCCCTATGCAGGGTAACACTAGTTTACAAGGAAGGTATTATTAACAAGACACATACTGCATATATTATTTTAAAATGAAATTTGATGGTTTATGTAGAATTGATTTCAGTAACAACAGAAAAATAAAGGCACTTTATATAAAAATTTACGGAGGGGCTGGCACAATAGCTAAACTGACCAATCCTCTACTTCTAAGCGTGGCATCTGGGCACTGGTTCCTTTCTGGCTGCTCCACTTCCCATCCAGCTTCTGTTTATACCTTTGAAAGCAGTGGAGATTGACGCAAGTCCTTCATACCCTGTACCTGCCTGGGAGACCTGGAAGAAGCTCCTGGCTCCTGGATTCGGATCAGCTCAGCTCTGGCTATAGTGGCCATTTGGAGAGTGAACCAGCACATGCAAGATCTTTGTCTCTGCTTCTCTCTGTAAGTTTGTCTTTCCAATGCAAATAAATAGATATGCCATATTACATGATTTCTTGCTTTGCTGTACAAATGCAGATGTGACAGCCTCTTACTAGCTCTCCGTTCCAGTCAACTTCACGGGGTCTGAAGCTTGGTTTGTCATTGAAGTGACTGACCTTGCAGTAGGACCAGAGTCTTCATCCTCGGATTCTTGATTTCCTTCTTCAGACAAAGAGCTGCTGTCCTCGTCGCTGTCTGACGAATCTGAACTACTGCTTTTGTAATTTGGGGGCAGAGCTGGTCCTGCAACTAGAGATGGGTGGGTATGTCACGAGTGGCCACCATTGTTTCAGCAAGTCCTCCTGGCTGACATCGTCCATTTTCTTCCCTAACATTCACAGCCCTCCATGTCTATCATTTATTACACACTTCACTCTCATTGCTCCTGTGTTGTAGATGGTGGTTTTGTCTCCAAAGCCAAGAAGGCAGCCCTCATGCCTTTGACATCTAAGAGCACCACAGTATTTTTTGTCAAAACTTAAATTTGCAACAATAGTATTTAAGTTCCCTGATAGCACATTATTTTCCATGTCGGTTAGTATACCTGCTAAAACAGGTTTATGTTTTTTCCTTATACATAGCACTTTGGAGAAAACATTCATATCATGCAACCAACCAAATTTGCAGCTACATACTCTAGTATACTGAAAATCACAATGACCCTTTCTAGTTTCTTAAGATCTATCACTTAGGCTCTGGCATAGTGGGTAAAACTGCTGCCCCTGTGGCTGGCATCCCATATGGGCATTGGTCTTGTTCTACCTGCTCCACTTCCAATCCAGCTCCCTGTTAATGTCCCTGGAAACCACTGGCAGATGACTCAAGTACTCGGGCCTCTGTACCCAGTGAGAGACAATGAAGAAGCTTCTAGCTTCAGACCAGCTCAGCTCTGGTTATTATGGCCATTTGGTGAGTGAAATCAGTGGATGGAAAACTTCTTTCTGTAACTATGCCTTTCAAGTAAAGAAATAAATCGTAAAAGCAGAGCAAAGCAGGCAGGAAGGAAAAAGGAAAGGCAGGAAGGAAATTGGCTGGCGCTGTGATGGAGCAGGTTAAGCCGCTGCCTTTGATGCTGGTTCTAGTTTCAGCTGCTCTGCTTTCCATCCAGCTCTTGTAATGTGCTTGGAAAGCAGCAGATGATGCTCAAGCATGCAGGTCCCTGTGATCCACGTGGTAGATCTGGACAGAGTTCCTGGCTCTTGGCTTTGGCCTGGCCTTGGCATTGGGGGTTTGGGGAGTGAACCCAAATATCTTCCTCTGTCTTCCAAATAAATATATCTCATGAAAAAAAGTATTTGAATTGCAAACCATTAGTTAGCAAAGAGAGCTTATTGATGGCTTGGATATGAAAAGGGCAGATATAAGGAAACAAGGAGGTCTTAGGTTGCTCACTCTAGATTTCTGGTCTTCCTAGTCTTCATTTTAAATTTAAAATGGCCCTTAAAAATTTCAGTAGTGCTGTCAGTGATATTTGGCTATACCAGTCTAAAATTAAAGGAAGAAATAAGGGCCCATTTTTGGAGTGTTCCACTATTTCCTGTATCTTTTGGTGTATTAATATAGAACAAAAGCCCAATACATAAAGATCGACTTCAAAATTTAAAATTCTTTGTTTCAAAAATTTGATTGGGGGCTGGTGTTGTGGTATAGCAGGTAACAGTACTGTCTGTGATAGTCTATGGCACTGGTTTCCCATAAGGACAACAGTTTGAGTCCCAGATGCTCCACTTCCAATCCAACTCCCTGATTATATGACTGGGAAAGCAGCAGATGATCCAACTCCGTGGACCCCTACACCCATGCGGAAACCCAGAAGAAGCTCCAGATTACTGGTTTCAAGACGGCCCAGCCTGTCATTGTGGTGATTCTGGAAGTAAACCAGTAGGTGGAATCTCTGTGTGACTCTGTATTTCAAGCAAATAAATAAATCTTCAAAACTAAAACAAAACAAAAAATAACAAAGTTGATAGGCAGAGGTATTTGGTTAAGCAGTTAAGATGTCACGTGCCTGGGTTTGAGTGCTGGCTGCACTTCAATCAGTTTCCTGCTAATGTGCACCCTGGGTGGGAGAAGTGAAGGCAAGTGTTTCAGTTCTTGCCAACCATGTGGGATCTCTGATGGAATTCTAGCTTTCTGGCTTTGGTCTGGCTCAGTTTGGGTTGTTGCTGGCATTTGGGGAGTGAGCCAGTGGATGCAGGATGTCTGCTAATCTCTGCCTTTCAAACTATACATTTTTATATGCATTTTCTCAAAATTTTTAAAGATTTATTTATTTTCATTGAAAAGGCAGGTTTATAGAGAAGAGAGACAGAAAGAAAGATCTTGCATCTGTTGGTTCACTCTCTAAATCACAGCAATGTCCAGAGCTGTGCTGATCTGAAGTAAAGGAGCCAGGAGCTTCCTCTAGGTTTCCCATGTTGGTACAGGGTCCAAGGCTTCTGGCGGTCCTTGACTGGTTTCCCAGGCCATAAGCAGGGAGCTGGATGGGAAGTGGAGCAGCTGGGACATGAAGAGCCCATATGGGTTGCTGGCACTTGGAGATGGAGGATGAGCCAGTTGAGCCAATGTGCTGGCCCCTTGAATAAAGGACTGTAGATTTAAAAAAAATTGCCAAACTTAGAAAGAAGCAGGTGGCTAGATGGTGGTGGAAAGCAGTATGGTTTGTGTGAACAGCAGTGTGTATATGTGGAACGGGGAATTCCGACCTAACCAGCTGCAGGTCCAACAGGATGCTGTCATCATAGCCTCTCAAATTGCTGCAGAACCCCAAAAGTGCAAGCCTTATTACGTGCCTGAGATGAATGTCACAAAATAATGTGATGCTAAATATGAAGACAATTCCAGAAGAGTTCATAATGTATTTTCCCAGTTACACAAAACAAAAAAGTATGTCAAATTAACGGAGAGGCTGCAAGTCAGGGCAGTGATAGCCCCCTGGTTTGTGGATGGGAAGGTCAGCTAGGAAGACGGTCCATGGGGAGCTTCTCTCATGTGCTATGGGGATTTTGAACACTGTTCGTGCTAATAAGTTTGATAGAGGCCCAGACAAAGAAATAAGGAGACTTTTAAAAAGATGCTATCTGAAAAAAATGTTAGCAATTGTCTTAGGACCAACCATGAAGGGAATGAAATTATAGTGGGATGGGGTGGGCTGGTAACGGGCGTAAGATGACATGGTACTGTGCTTGATGACGAGATGGAGGCATGCCATAAATTACGTATGAAGGCTCTTTCGCTGTCGGCAGGTTGGCATCAAACTCGCTCAATGTAAAACCTGACAGACATACCACACACAGTGTTATGTGCTGGGAGTTTGAGAAACAGAGGGCATACAAAGAAAGAAGCACTTGATGTAAGTGCTTATAGAATGGCAGGAACCAATCACATTGAAACACCCTTCTAGGAAAGCACTTGATCTGTAAATGTTGCCTGAGTTTAAGATCTGAGACTGGGCTCAGCGTGATGGCTCAATTGCCTAATCATTTCCTTACAAGCAGCGGGATCCCATATGGGTGCTAGCTCATGTCCTGCCTGCTCCACTTTCCATCCAGCTCCCTGTTTATAGTCTGGGAAAGCAACAGAGGTAGATTTAAGGCTCTGGGATCCTGCACCCATGCGGGAGACCCAAAGAAGCTCCTGGCTTCTAGCTTCAGATCAACCAGGCTCTGGCCATTGTGGTCATTTGGGGAATAAATCAGCAGATGGAAGATCTTTCTGTCTCTCCTTCTTTCTGTAAATCTACCTTTCTAATGAAAAGAAATGAATTTTTAAAAATAAATAAAATCAGAGACTATGATGAATTGGCACTTGCAAGGGGAGGATATAGTCACTGAGCTATTGCACTGGGACCAAGCCTGGTTTTTTAGTGGTTATAACAAAACTGAGATCTAGAATGGAATTTCTGGCAGCAACAAGGACTCTGGGTACCAAAGAAGGAAAATTAAATTCATAAGTTGGGGCGGGGGGCGAGGGGGAGGTGGTGCAGCTTGTTCTTCCAGCTTTTCTCTATCTATAGGACTTCTGTCAGTCTGTAAATCAGACCATTAAATGAGACAGTTAGGCACAAACGCATCTGAGAAACATGTCCTCGCTGTATGTGAAAAGTCTGTTATGTGTATAGAAGAACACACAGGGACAGATACGCCAGTACGTGATTCACATGTATGATGTGTTAAACATGCAATGTGCGGCGGGCTGCTAGCCTAGTCGTTACGATGTCTTTGTTCTCGCTAACACTCAGGCACAGCACATTAAGCCTCCACTTGTGTCACAGACATCCTTAACAGGCAGCAGTTCCAATCCTGGCTGCTCCACAACCCATCCAATCACCTGCTAATGCCAGGGGAAGTCCTTGGGCGCCTGCAACCTCACGGGAGATCCAGCTGCAGTTCCTGCCTCTTCGCTTCAGCCTGGCTCAGCCCTGCTACTATGGAAGCATCAACCAGTAGGTGGAAAATCTTCCACAGTTACTCTGCTTTTAATAAGGAAATATTTTTTTTTAAACGTCTTTTAACCACACTGTTGTCCTTGCATTCAACAGTTGGCTCTAGATTCCTGTTTCTTCTCATGCATAGCTTAAGCAGATGATGGTTCAAATAGTAGGGTCCCTCGTACCCACAGGCCTGGTCCCGACTGAGTTCCTAGGTCTGACTTCGAGTACAGCCCAATACCACCTGTTCTGGGCATCTGGGAAGTGAATGAGCATACAAGAGACTGCTCCCTCGTTTTCTATATCTTTCCTTCCTCCTTATCCCTCCTTCTTAGATTTATTTTTATTGGAAAGGCAGATTTACAGAAAGGAGAGACAAGGATCTGCCATCCACTGATTGACTCCCTAAATGTCCACAAGGGCTAGAGCTGAGCTGATCTAAAGCTTGGATCCAAGAGTGTCTTCCCATCCTCCCAAGTGGTGCTGTGACCCAAGGCTTTGGGTCATCCTCTATTGTTTTCCCAGGCTTTAAGCAGGAAGCTGGATGGAATGTGGAGCAGCTGGTACAGGAATTGGTGCCCACATGGAATCCCGGCACTTGCAAGGCAAGGATTAACCAATTGAACCATTGCTCCAGATCCTCTCTGTATTTCAAGTAAATACATAGAGAAAAAACAACAGCACTTAAAACATGGATAATCTAACTAAATAGAGGGAAAACAACTCGAAGGTAAAGAGGAGGAGTGACCCACGCCTGGGAGAGTATGGGAAGGTTTCTCTGAGCTGTCATTTAACTCGGGCCTTTAAGGACGAGGAGATCGCCAGGTTTGTACGGAAGTGCAACCAGAGGGATGCCAGAAGCTGGGTGTGTTGAGGAGCTGCGTGAGCACCGGACCCGTGAGTCAGATGCAGTAACACAAGGAAAGTTTAGGAAGGCAGAGCCAAGGCCAGAATCCTGTGCACTGGAAAGTTCAAAGGGCACACGCCTCATTCTAGCTTCACACTGCGATCTGGGCCCCTGTCCGGGCTTGGGGCTCCCGTTTGTAAACTGGGGATAATGATATTTTCCATATACAGCGGTTGGGAAGAGAACATGGCCAAACGCGCCTATCAATGAGCACAGCGCCCCCGGCTCTCGGGCCTGGGTCGTCCTCAGCAGGGTGAGCCACCCAAAGCTCTGACTCTGAGGAGCCGCCCAAGAACCCTGGGAGCTGGGATCGGGACGCGCTCACTCGCCACTCCCTCAACCCTCCAGAAAGGGTCGGTGCGGCCTGGGGGGCACGAGAACGTCGCACCGCTTACCCGGGCTCGGGTCCCGCTCCTCGCCCTCCGCCAGTCCGCTGGCCTTGAAGCCAGGTGGCAGCGCCGGCCCGATCAGGTCCCTGGCCATCCGCGGTCACCGGCGCTCGTCACGCACACCTGTCCAAGCACTTTCAATCAATTCCCAAAAGGCGGTCCCCGACCCGCCGCAAACGTTGCAAGTTTTTCCGTCTCCGATTGATGACGCAGCAGCCTGTGGTTGGTGGAGCCGTGACGTTTGCGGTGAAGGAAGTGACGCCTAAAGCTTGTTGCACAGGCGCATGCTGGAGTTCCCTGGCTGAAAGTGGCATGGCTGAGCTCGCCAGCGGCTGGCCTCCAGCTCCCGGCGGGACTCGCAGGTCGGGACCCCTGAGCGACACGGCCCCGCCGCGGGACGGCAGGACGCCGTGGTCGGTGCTGACACCGCCGCCCCTGCCTTCGTCGTCGCCTCTCGCGCCCGGGTCAGAGGCTCCCTCCGAAGCGCAGCCCATGGTGACCCCATCTCTGTCCGGGGCGCCACCCCCCTTCGACGCGCAGATTCTTCCAGGAGCGCAACCACCCTTCGATGCCCAGTCCCCCTGTGATTCTCAGCCTCAGTTCAACGGCGTGTCACCCTGGAGTTTCCAGGCTGCGACCTCATGGTGTTGGGGACAATCTCCGGAGGGTTTTCCTCGGCACCAAAACCTCCATAACCCTCTGGGTAAGCAGCCGTTCCGCGCGGGGCCACCCTTTACGTATCTTCTCCCTGCTCCTCCTTCCTCCTTCTCCCTCCACTCTGCCCTGCGCTTTTGGAGTCTCATCATTAATGTCTTAAGATGTGTCCGGCCGCAGCGACTCTGGTAGCTTCTAAGTATGCGGCTAGGAGTTGGGAACACAGCAGGGAACAAAATAGCGAACAAACTGATGGAGCCTAGCGTCCCTCCCTTGTGAGTAGGAAGACATAGAAACCAAACGTTATTCGTTGGAGGCTATATGAATGTGGAGCAAGAGAAAGCAAAGGGAAATGGTAGGTAGTCCATTAAATGCCACTGTGAGTTGTAAGGAAAATGACATTTAAGAAAGACTTCAGGGAAGTGAGGGACCATGGTTACAAGTTGTCCAAAGAAGAGAGAGTTGGCGCTTGAATCCGGGTGAGGCTCAGGATGATGAGAGGCGCTTGGATTCTGGATAAATGTTAAAAGGTAGGACAAATAGGATTTGTTGCCATGTGGGATGTGAGATAAAGAGGAGACAGTAGCAGCTTAAAATTTTCTGCCAAACAGCTGGAAGGAGAAAAGCGCTGTTCATTGAAATACGGTATACATTGAATACGAATGGAGATTTGGATGGAAGACCAGGAGTTGCATTGGGACCAGAACTTTTGAATAGACCGTTAACTGTTCATCTACCTTTTGGGGAACTGTGTGGCTGTTGTAATTTTGGATGTCATCTAAGTGTTGTTCATATTTAAAGCATGGGATTGTTGAGTTAAAACCCTAATCAAGTGTGAGTAGATAATATTTATGTTAAATTTAATTCACTCTGTATGGGATTTAGGTTAAATTGAATCCAGACAATGTTTATTGTGTGCCAGATGCTGGGAATATGAGTTTGACCAAGTCAGAGGAGAGGGGTTTTTAAGGATAAATCCTGAAACTGTGATCGGTGAGGGAAGTATACTAAAGGTGATTTCAGAGTGCAAAGTGGGGAAAAGCTTTGGACAAGATGTCTTTCGGGAGAGGTGTGGGATGTGAGAACAGAGAGAGCCAAGGTGCCAGCCCAAGGCAGGTCTTGTGGTGTTGTGGTGTGATTGATATGGAGTCTGTAGAAGGTCCGGGAGTGGGAAAGGGCAGGAAAAGAAACTGGAATCACATCAAAGAACTTTGGGAACTGTTTTCAGTTTTTTAAAAATTGAGTTGACCTGACTGAAGAATGCAGGTCTGTTGGAAGTGAAAGTTTAGGAATGGGAAAACCAAGTGGGAAGCCAGCACAGTAACCCTGTGTGAAAGATGTGATTTTGAGTTGGGTCAGCAGTAAGAATGGAAAGGTTCACTGGGTTTGGAGAGGAGAGGTGTGTCCTAGGTTCTGTTTGCCTGTTGTGAAACTGATGTTCCGAAGAACTGTGTTAGAGACTTTTCTTGTTAACATTTCTGGTATGGGAAATATTTGACAAAATTCCATCAGGTTAGATTGTATATTCCTGCTTAAAGCATGTACGGACGTATGAGCTCATGAGTATGGTTTCATTTAAGAAGTGCCATTTAGGCCCAGTGTGATGATTTCACGCCTAAACCCTTACCCTGCAAGCACCAGGATCCCATATGGACACTGGTTCATGCCCTGGCTGCTCCACTTCCAATTCAGCTCCCTACTTATGACCTGGGAAAGCAGAGGAGGATGACCCAAAGCTCCTGGCTTTTGGCTTCAGATTGTCTCAGCTCCAGCTGTTGTGGCCATTTGTGGGAGTAAACCAGCAGATGGAGATTTTCTATCTCTTCTTCTTTCTGTAAATCTGATCTGCCTTTCCAATGGATATTGTTTCCCAATTCTTTATCTAGATTAGGGAAATTCTCCCTTATTATTACACTAAATACATTTTTAAAACCAGCTTCTCTTTCTGCACCTTCTGGGATTCCCATAACTCTTATATTTGGCCTTTTAATAGTGTCTTGCAATTCTTGAGTACTTTTTTAGCTTGACCCAGCTCTGCTCCCAGCTTTCTGATTGTTTCCCTCTGGTGACAGGAAATATCTTCCAATTCTGAGATTCTTTCTTCTCAGCCTTCTTCATTTTATTTTGGAGACTCACCACTCTACTCTTAATTTGCTCCACTGTATTCTTCATTTCTGATAGATCAGCTTTCATTCGATTCATTTCCAGGGTGACATATTCCTTAAATTTTTGAACTCCTGTATTATGTGCTTCTCATTGTTAAGAAGCTTTAAAACAATTGTTTTGTATTCTGTATCCCGCATTTTCTCTATGTCTTCCTCAGTGAGCTCTGAGGTTGGCAAAAACGTTTGCTGCTTTGCAGGACAGTCTTCAGTGATGTTCATTGTGCCTTTGTCTCATCTTTTGCTCTTGGTCATTGTACTTCTGGTTATCAGATTCTTCTCCTTGCAGCAGGTTTCTAAGCTGTGTCATCCACAGGTCTACAGTTTGATTTGACTTATTGCAGTTGGCACGTGGCTCTTTGTTTGCTCTCTCTTGTGCCATACTCTCTTCAGTGAGTTCCAGGTCTGGGTTCTTAGGTTAGACTTCCACCATTGATTATCTCCATAGCCCCAGCTCCTTGCTCACCAGTCTCCACCTCCTGTGATACCATGCTGAGGCTGCACCATTGCCTGTACAAGCTTTCTCCCACTTCCTGTTAGAGCAGTTCCCAGGATTAGGGAGACACCAGATGTCCTATAGTAGCTAGATTGTTGATGGTGCTGATGTTGCCAGAACCTGTTGGCTGTTAGGTCTGAGAGCCAGATGGACCTATTTTGACTTGTATGATGCCAAAGTTGGTATTATTTTCCTTGTGGGACCAGTGCAATGCATTGATGTTAGTGCGCTTGCTCCCAGGTCAGTGCATGCACAGATCACTGTTGACCCCGCAGTCTTTTTTTTGTTTTTTTAAGATTTATTTTTTGTTATAATTTAAAAGTCAGATATACCGTGATGGGGAAAGACAGAGAGAAAGATCTGCCGTCTGATAATTCTCTTCTCAAGCTGCTGCAACGGCCAGTGCTGTGCCAGTCTGAAGCCAGGAGCCTGAAGCCACTTCCGTGTCTCCTACATGGATGCAGGGTCCCAAGTCTTTGGGTCATCCTTGCCTGCTTTCCCAGGCCACAAAAAAAGAACTGCATGGGAAGCAGGGCTGCTGGGATTAGAACTGGCGCTCATATGGAATCCTGGCGCATGCAAGGCGAGGACTTTAGCGGCTACGCTACCACACCAGGCCTTGTCCCTGCAGTCTTAATGCCTTTGCTGCACTGTACTAAATGGCACCTGGTGTGCCACTACCTGAGTTCTTGATCTGCTGGCTGTCAGGTCTGAGGGCTACCCGGACCTATCTTGGGTGGAACTTGTAGGATGCCTCGTTTTTGCAGTTCACTGAACCAGAAATAAGTTCAATCCCAGCTGAATGCATGCACATTCCTGTGTGTAGTCCTTGCCTCCCTACACAAAATGGCACCGGATTCAGGTCTAGGGGGCAGACTGGGCTGAGAAATCCATCCTGTTCCCACACGGTCCATCTGGGGTCTGCCACTCTGTCTCTGCTCCTGGTCAGATTAAACAGACCAGCAGGACGGGCAGTTATTTGTCTGGGTTCACCTCATGAGCTCCCCATCAGCATCCCTTCCCGCCTTGTTGCTGGTGGAGTTCTGAGTGCCGGTGCAATTCATATTGCCACTTGCTGAGTGCTGCTTGGGTATCAGTCACACCACACCTTTGTGTCTGCTGCTTTCCTGTGTCTGTCAATCTCCAGGTACCCCTCTGCTGTTGTTCTGTCCTCTAATTTCCTGAAATGTGCCCTCTCTGCTTCACACTGGACTAATGTTTCTCCATAGATCTAACGTGTCTTTACCCTATTCCGCCATCTTGGTTCTCCAAAAAATACTTATTGATAGACTAGTTCTTTTTTTTTGTTTATTTGTCTAAATTTCTTCTTGTTTATAGTTGTAAACATGAGTGGATTTTTTGTTTTTTTTTAGGTAAACATTCATATTTTCCACATAAACATGACTCAGAGTTCACTGACTTCAACATGCCTCCCAACAGAAAACAAAAGAAAAAGGTATTTTCATGATTGTCTTGCTTATGATATTCCAGTGCCTGTATCATGATTGTGAATCCTTTGTTTATCTGATAACTGTTTCACTGTGATTATATAGCAGCTATTTATCTATGAAATGCAGTAAAATGAGGCATGCTTGTGTTGCATACATGTGTTGCTCTACTTACATTAAGAAGTTTTTCTTAGGGTCAGCATCATGAGATAGCAAGCTGTTCCACCATCTTGTAGTGTCATCATTCCATGTGGGAGTCGTTTCGTGTCGTGAGTGCCCCACTTCTGATCCAGGTCCCTGCTAATGGCTTGTGAAGACTGTAGAGGTTGGCCCAAGTCCTTGGACACTTGTCCTCATGTTGGAGACCCAGAAGAAGCTCCTGGCTCCCAGCCTCAGAACAGCCCAG